AAAACACGGGAATGTGGGAGGGCAAATGCTGTCAAATGCTGCGAAGCAGCACGGGGTGCTCTGAAGGTGAAATCCAGTGCGGGCAGGTCAGGAGAGTTCCCTTGGGAAGAGCCTTTTCAGTTGACAGTTGAGAGAGCAGGTAAAGTGACCAATGCAGGAGGCGGGAAGAATGCCCCAGGCCACAGGAAGGGCCCATGTTGGTGGTTCTTACCAGGAGAGGTTAGGTTAACCTAGAACCCGACTCTACCTTACATGTAAGCACAGTGCTTTTTGCGTGGTTTTAACATACCCCGAATTGTCCTGGAAGGCAAGGACCATGTAGATTAAGACAAGACTGAACTGGACTTTGGGAATTCACCAAGGCTTGTTCACTGTTCTGGGGCAACAGCACTGGCAGCAACTCCCCTTGACGTGCAACGCCGGCCTGTGTCTCCCTGCGTTGGTCACCGTCACCTGCACAGTATTTCTACACGTGAGCTCAGGCACCTGGCTACTTCGTTACAGCTTCCAGCACTTAAATGCATATGATTTTTATTTAAAAATGACTTTCCATTTACTCTCTATTGGATAGCTGGAGAATTACATATACACGTTTTCATTATACAGGTGGCAGGTTATATTATTTTTTAATTTCATCTCAGGGTAGACAAAGAAGCCGTGGGTCTGATAGGGCTAGAAGCACAGGCATCTTCAAGTACCTCCTTTTGCTGCGTTGAGAGGAAGAATCAGGCCATGTGAGAACTACCAGGAGGTGCGAGGTCCGACCCCAGAGAGCCATGCACGGTGTGGCATAAAACAAGGCCGGAAGAGGGTGTGCGGGAACCAGAGCCCTCGTGCACTGCTGGGGGTGCGGAATGGCGCAGCCGCCGTGGGGAAGAGCCTACAGGTGCTCAAAACGCTAAACACAGAGAACCGTCTGAACCAGCAGTTCCGCTCCTAGGTATATGCCCAAGAGAAATGACAATATATGTTCACATAAAAACTGGAACACAAATTTTCATAGCAGCATACTTGTAATAGCCAAAAAAGTGGAAACAGCCACAATATCCATCGACTGGGGAACGGACAAACAAAACGTGGTCCACCCATACAATGGAACGCGGGTCAGCCGCGGAAAGGGAGGAGGTACCCACTCGCGCTACCGCCGGTGAATCTTGAGAATATCACGGCGAGTGACAGAGGCCAGAACAAAGGCCACAGACGATTCCGTTTATCAGAAACGTCCAGATAGGCAGACCCACGGAGACAAAGCGTGCTGGTGGCTGCCAGGGGCTAGGGCTGGAGAAGCGGGTGGAGAGTGGCGCTCATGGGTCTGGGGTTTCTTTTGTAGGTGATGGGAATGTTCCGAAATTAAATAGCGGTGACAGTTGCACAACGGTGTGAACCTGTTAGAGACCGCCGAATTGTACACTTTGAAAGGGCGACTTTATGGCATGCGAACGATTTCCCGAAATCCAACCAGGCAGGCAGAGGTGAGGCTGGAGAGATGGCCGGGGCCGCAGCACTCAGGCCTTGTGGCCGGCGCTGAGCCGAGCTGTCATCTTCGACCTCAGGCTCCCCGGGAGCCACTGAAGGCTGTAGGCATCACCGTGGCAACGCGGATTTGCGTCTTAGAGAGGTCGCTGGGGGAAATGGACAGGAGACTACCAGCAGAACCCGACGACGCTGGAGGCGACAGGAGGAGGCATGCGCAGCTGGCTTGGCTGCGGCTGGAGCGGTGGTGCGGGCGGCGCCCTTGGCGGGAACGTCGGAAGAGTCAGGTTGGAGCAATTCGTGACAGCCGATGTGCCAGAGGTCAATCCCGCGGCGGTTTGGTCTGATAAGATAAGAACCAGAGTGTGGTGACATGGGAGGACACTGGGGAGAGGCGGCATGCGAGCAGGACTTTGCAGGGTCGTGGGGGGCAGCCGGGGGTTCGAGGGCAGTCTAGGCAGAAGAACGGCCGGCAAGCATTTGGAGGCGGGGAAGAGCCCGGGTTTGCTGGCATTCTGTTTGGCCAGGGAAGACGGGGAACAAAAGTCACAGTAAGCGCTGGCCGGCAAAGCGTGTGCCTCCATTTGTCACAACCTCCCATTCCACAGGTGACTGAGGTTCAGGGAGGTCCAGGTGACTTTTATGTAAGGTCACACAGCTACGAAGGGGCTGGCCGGTTTTTAATCTCAGGTCTGTTTGAAAAAAAAAATGTACACAGGTGGGTTCGGGCCACCTTGTAGCATGCAGACTTCATTTTTACGGTCAGTAAAGTCATTCTTTCTCTTCTTGAACCGGAAAACTTACTCTTCTCGGCATCTCTGTTTTGGGTTACACATTCCAATGCCCCGAATCATTTGATAACAAGTTTCTTTGAGGGAGAAATTGTGCTCATTGTTCGGAAAACGTAATCTACCGTAACACAGATGAATGAGGACTCCGACACTTCTGCGCAGGGATGTGGGGCACATGTGTTGTAGGTGGCAGAGAAGTCAAATCCGTGAGCGCTGGATCAGCCGGGCGACGACAGCTGCCTGGCGTTAAATAGGAGACGTGGGTTCTTCCTGCTGCTTCAACTCCCTGACTTGGCTCTGAGCACTGAGTCTCAAACACAAATACATATTTGTTGAATTTTTGTTTCATTCTGTTTGGATTCCAGTCATTGAGATATAATCATTTCTTTTATGCAATGCATTTTTGAAAATGCACTTGAATCTTTACCTTATGGTTTCAACAGCCATGGAGGAAGTCTTAAAATATTTTAAAAGGGAAAGGAGTGGGGCAGGAGGGAGGTGACATCCATAAAAGGTACAATTATCAAAACTTAAGGACCAGGGCAAACAAACCTAGTGGGAGACACATGGGACTTCTGAAAGGGAGGGAAATGAACCAGGACAAATGCCAGGCACAGGCCACCAGCTTGCTTCCCGCCCGGGAGTTTACTCGGTTTGGGGACACCCAGAGGAAGACTGTCTGAGGGGTAGGAGTGACCCTAGGGCTCTGGGAGGCGGCAGAGGACACAGGGGTGACAGCCCTAAGAACAGCAGAATTACTTTCCAAAGTCAGCCCCACTGTTTATCCAGCCTTTTCCAGAAAGTGCAGCGTTTCCCAACATATATGCGGATAAGAATAGCCACATGTGCTCTTTAAAGAGGCAGATTTAGGGGCCCCACCCCAGACCCATGACTCGTAATGCCCAGGAGAGATTGTTAATTGGGTGGTTGTGGGCAAGTCACTCAACTCACATAAGCCTGTTTCTTCATCGTAAAATAGGGAAAGGACTAGTACCCAGCCGTCCGGTTGTGTGTGGGGTTAATGAAAAAAGTTCCGACGAAGAGCTTAGCAGAGTGTCGGCATCTGATTAATACCTGGTAACTGTTACCTGGTTACCTCCTCTTTTCTGTCCCTGGTCAGGAACAAATCTACAAAATTGTCCTCCCCAACTTCAGTCTCAAGAGGTGGCGGCTGATAGAGGCCCTGCAGGGCCAGTCTGTGTCCCAATCACACCTCAATGTGCAGCCTGTTTTGTGCTGAGGCCGACACTGCCCGGGCCATCAGCGGCTCGGCCTTCACCAGGTGAGGTGGTGCCATGCTGCCTCGGGCCTGGGCTACGTGGCAGGAGCCACACATGCTTAGATTGCATCACCCTGTGCACTAAGTGCGGAGTGCATGCCAGAGCTGTTTCAGATCCTGGAGATTAAGTAGGAAAAAACGAAGGCCATGCCTTCATGGGGCTCACGTTCACTGGGGGGAGGCAAGCAATAAACAAATAAGGCCAGTAAGTAGGTCCAGAAGTGAGGGCGTGGCAGAGGGACTTCAAAGGCCCCGGTGGAGGGAAGGGCTGGTGGGAGATAGGTTGGGGCCGGGAAGAAAGGGCCTGGGCTCTAGAAGGCTATCTTAGGGATTCTGGCATTGATTCTGGTGAGATAAGAAGTGTCAGGGGGCTTTGACTCGAGGAGGGACATCGTCTGACTTTGATTTTACCAGAATCCTTCTGGCTTGTCGTGGAGAATAAGCTGTAGAGGGACAAGGGTAGAGCTGAGAGACCAGCAAAGAGGCTACTGCACCAGTCCAAGCGACAGATGATGGTGGCTTTGTACAGGGTGGAAGATACAGTAGAGGTGAGACATGGCTGGACTCCAGATCTGTTTTGGAGGTCAAGCCGCCAGGACTGGATGTGGCGTGTGAGAGACGCAGAGCCAAGGATAATTCTAATGACAGTCATCCGTGAGACACATCTGCAAGGATGGAGCTGCAACTGCCTCTTGATGAGAGGGGCGGGGAGCTCAGTGTGAGCGGGCTAGTGTGAGATCCCTACTAGATATCAATAATGGAGGGGCCAACGGGGCAACTAAGTGTGCACGAACGGAGTTCACGGGAGAGGCTGGGGCCAGAATCACCGATGTGAAGCCACCAGCACGTAGGTGGTATTTAAAGCCGTGACACTGAATGAAGTCACCCTCAGAAGGAGTCAAGGAGGAGCAGAGGTCCTTGGGTCAAAAGGTCCTCGGCATTTAGAAACAGGGCCTGAGCAAAACGTGTGCTCCACACCTGGGGAATCTGCCCTCGCTCAGCTTAGTCACCAAGCTCCGGATGTCCTTTGGCTTCCTGAGCCTGGGGGACAGAGGGACAAGAACTGGACCTAGATTCGAAAGGCCTGGCCTCTGTCATTGACTGTGGGACCTTGGGCACAACATGTCACCTCTCTGAGCCCCTGTGTAAAGTGGGAACGCCACTTCCCCGGTCATGGCACAAGGCGGTTACAAGGATCAAATGAAACAATTACGGGCGAGTGCCACACACTGTAAAAAGCAGAAACTCTGGGTCATCACTCAGTTCCTCCCGGGGACGGGAGAAGGCAGGCCAGGTCACTGGGGGGGGGGGCTTCTGCGGCCTGCCGGGATGATGTTTGTAGTCCTGGCAGGTGATGCGGGTGACCTGCGGTTGCTACGACAGGGCCACAGGGAAGGACCCGCTCGTTAGAGGTTTCGAATCAGGCAGCTCTGCGGACACAGGGAGTGAGAGAGCGAGAGAGGGTTCAAAACAGAGACGTGGGCCTGCACGAGCCGGGAAATTGATGCCATTAACAGAGCTGGGTTACACGGGAGACAGAGAAGCGGAAGACAAAAGTTGATATTTGGGAGACGCGGAGTTCAGAAAGAGAGTGGAGTGTAAGGAGTGTCCGTGGAATCTTGGTACGTGGCCAGCTCTTATCCTTAAATGACCTCCGAACGCACGGAAACATCATCTTTGCACATCACTCTGAAGGTCAACTTAACATTGCTCAGACAGTGCCGCGGTAAGTAAAATGACTCTGACCTCAATCTAATCCAAATTCTAGGAATGAATTAGCAGGGTCGGAGCTTCCGCTAGTGCTCCGGCGCCTGCCTCCCGCTTCCAGCTCGCACAGCGCCCTCTGTTGGACGCCTCGGCCACAAATCCCCATCCTCTTCCTCTCCGCTGGAGAAGGACCGAGAAGGAAACGAACAGCTCCCCAGGGCCTTCCACACACATTATTCTCATTTTGTCTTCACAGTCGCTCTGTGACACGGTTGTTAGGGCCAAGATGTGGAAGCTGGGCGCGGAGAGGCTAAGCACCACGCCCCAAGTCACAAAGTCGGAGCAGGGCTACGATTGGAACCCCAGCCGGCCACCTGCAAGCCTGTGCTTCGCTCCCTACACGTAACTGCACCTGTGGAGGACAGGGGTGATTTGACAAGGGACTCGACACAGTCTCGAGGACAGAGGTCCATATCGGACATGCATTCGAAGCCTCACACCTGATTCCCTGCAAGGCACCACACCAGGCAAGGTAAATGGCCGCAGGGCTTTTAAGAGGTTGGTAGAGACCCCGGGACCTCGCTGTGCAGAGTCAGGAGGCTGTGTTCTCGGCTCTGCCTCCTCACTGTGTGACCTCGATCAAGCTCCTCCCACTTTAGCCCCTTCACCTGCAAATATTGGGCCAGGGGAGTTTCAACAACAAACTTTCCAGTTTAAACACCAATAGTGATTGGCACTACCTTTCGGGAGGACAATCATGGCAGTAGGCACAGAATTTTAAGATGTGAACACCCACTGACTTCTTGGAGTCTGTCCTAAAGAAATGCACAGGTAAGTGCACAGGACATATGCACAGGACGTTCACTGCAGCACTTATGAGTAATAATGAACTAAAGGTCCAGCATCACAAGATTGCCTAAATAAATAATGATACCTTGGAAAACTATGCAGCCAGTAAAAAGAATGAGGAAGGCATGTAAGTGGTAAAGTGGAAGTATCACCATGATATATGGTTGAATGTAACAAGCAAGATTTTTTGTTGTTGTTGTTGAGACAGAGTCTCACTCTGTTGCCCAGGCTAGAGTGCCATGGCATCAGCCTAGCTCACAGCAACCTCAAACTCCTGGGCTCAGGAGATCCTCCTGCCTCAGCCTCCTGCGTAGCTGGGACTACACACACTCACCATCACACCCGGCTAATTTCTTGTTTCTGTTTTTAGTTGCCTGGCTAATTTTTCTATTTTTAGTAGAGACAGAGTCTCAACTTTTGCTCAGGCTGATCTTGAACTCCCGAGCTCAAGGAATCCTCCCACATCAGCCTCTCAGAGTGCTAGGATTACAGACATGAGCCATTGTGCCCAGCTCTAAATATTTTCATCTCTAAAATGCTATGGAAGGTAAGTCTATGTGGGTCTCTTTAAGTGGTCTGAGTTTTTGAATTACCAAAAGAACTCGACAATGAGAGATTTGCTTAGCATTGCCTGGACGCAGGTGTGTCTAGTGCTTTCTGCTTCACCTGCACCCACAACCTTAGGAAGGGGCTATTGGACAGGGGAGGACACTGAGGCCCCCAAACTCTAACTTTCAAGGCTCTTTCCACTCTGCGCATGATGAACCCTATGCATTTCCACAGAACTATTGTGTTCCTGTCTTCTGGGATCTCAGCCCTGGGAGGACACTTAGCACACGGTATGGTAACTGTGTCCTCAAGCACACTGCTACTCCAAAGGGGTCTACTGAATCTGAAACTAACAGATTGGGGTTTGCATTTTGTATGTCTTTGGGGTGTTTAAATTTCACTTGTCTGACAATTCATTTTTATTATATGTTACAAAAGTATCCATCTGCAACAATCAGAGAATTTTTACAAACCAGCCCTTCAGCATTCCTTGTTTGAGACGCACCGGGCGGCTGGAGAGAGGAGAGTTGTCTGAACTGCGGCAGGCGCTCCACGGCTGGCGTATGAGCGACCAAACCACCGCAGGAGTGACCTCATGGACGGACGGGAATAAACCACAGGCAGAAAACTGCCCAGAACCCAGGTTTCTCATTTTGAGCCACTGGAAGGGTTAGAACTTAGGACTTCAAGTTCATGGCCAGACTTGATATGCGCACTGCTAAATCCTCATGCTCCCCAATTCCAAAGGTAGTGCTGGGAGACCTTTTCCTCCCAAGTCATGGTACTGACCAACAACAACACAAAAAGGACCAACAAGGGTCACACAAAAATAAAAAACAGTTGTTACTGCTCATGATTTAAAAAATCAGATGAAGTTAGTAGACAAAGATAAAAATTCTCCTCACCTTCCTGAACTAGTCACAGGAAACAGGAGGCCACACGCACAAATGTCCAGTTATAATCGGACACACTCACTCCAGTGCTGAAATCGAGGCGAGAGCAGGACTCAGCCTAGGGCACGGGCTCCTCGAGGCTGCCTTAAGCTCTTGGCTGGCAGGAAACAGCTTCGGCCTCAAGTTTTTGCCTCTGGAGATGAGCAAACACTCCCTGATCAAGAAGGCTGCCCGTACACCTTGCTCCATCTTGAAAATTCCCCCTGGCACTTTCCAGAAGCAAATGGCTCTTCTTTATACTTAAAGGTACCTGGAATTAGAAAAAATTCCATCTGATTTTATTTTGTAAGTTTTCCCTGCAAAGTTGTACAGTAGAAAACAGCGTCAGCATAGGCCTGGGTCCTCCTCCCAGTCTATGCTCCTTCCTCCTGGTGTAAATCTTTACGGCAAACTATTTTCTCCTCTTAAGCCTCCGTCTGCACATCTGTAAATGGAATGACAATCACACTGCACGGGTTAACGGGTTAACGTGAGGACTGGATAACAGGATGCGCATAGAACGGGCTGAGCCCAGGCTGACACAGAGCGAGCCTCTGATGGGGACCAGCTTGTGGCTCTTCCTGCTCACGGGCCAAAGTGGAGACCAGCAGGGTCCTGACCATAACAGACACCATTTATCCGGCACTTGCCATGTGCCAGAAAGTGTTTCGCGAGACACTTATAAGCTGGCAGCATCCTCACTACGACCCTCTGAAGCAGCTCCTCTGGGTGTCCCATTTTAGAGGCAGAAGGTGAGGTCCCCTGGCCAAGCCCTTCCCACCCAGAGGCCACCAGCCAGGACCTGGCCCGGGCCCGTCCCCGCCCCCGCTGTGCTCCCTATCAGCCCAGTTTCCTGCTCTTGGCTTCCTTCTTCCGTGTTTCCCAGGAGTATAAAGTCGTGGGCATCAACTTTGGCTGGCTTTGCTGTTGTTCTCAAGCCTCTGTCATCATTGGTATAATTTTACATAAACTTGGCTTTGCTTTAAATTTTTAAAAATATGTTCTCTTCTTAAATATCTCCTGAGGGAGAAAGGATTTCTATAAATGATCCCGCTCTCCCCTCCCCAGTGTTAAACTTAATAAGCCTCAGTCACTGGATCTCCGTTGACACGTTGGGTTGTTTGTTGGTTTATTTTCATTTTGGAAACTCTTCTCCATGGTTAACCACGCTCCCTCCTCCTTAAAAAATCCCCTGAGGAATTCTGATCAGCTGCTGGGGCTGTGGGGCAGATCCCCTGGAGGGCATCACGTTTCTGGAAGTCTCCTAGAAGGCAACAAGCTTTGCAACCTGACTCTTCCCTGAATTTTCACCTGTAGGATTGTCTCAGGGCAGGAGGAAAAGGGCACAGGCATGCTTTCTGCTCCCCCTGAAAATGATGCATTTCAGAAAGGAAGAAAAAGGTTTAAACCAACAATTAAAATTCACCAGACCCTGTAAAAGGCAACACAGAAGGGTGAGGACTCTGGAATCCAACGACTTGGGTTTGAGTACCGGCTCTGCCACTTACCTGTGGGACGCCGGGCAAGTTACTTAGCTTCTCTGTGCCTCCACTTCCACGTCTATAAAAGGAGGAGGATAACAGCAGCTAAGACCATTTGTTTTTGTGAAGATGAAATAGAGCTGGTCAGGGACTGAGGGGCTTCTCGGGGCTTTCAGGGATAAAACTGGGAAAGTCATAAGCAAACCAAGATGAGCTGATCGGCTTAAGATGAAACGCGAGTATACGCGGGTATACGCGTAAAGCTTTGGAAACGCACCCGCACGTTTTAATGCTCCATAATCTGCAGCTACTATTCTTCCCGGCTGCCTCCAGCCACCATCTATTCCTTGCCGCTTGTCTCCATGCTCCTCACTTCCTCACTTTCCCCTCTGCAGGGGCCCACCATATGCCTCTTACACCTGCCAGGACGCTGACATTCCCAAAAGTTCCCGCTAAATGTTTCCGGCCCGTCACAGGATGAGCATTCAGAAAATGTATTAGGTGCCCAGCAAAGAGCTTTCCAACGAACCCTTTTTTTCTTCTTCCTCTTCCTCAACGTTCAGACAACCTGTAAACCAAAGGTTAAAATTAGGATGGAGACGGGTCCCCCCACCCCAGGTGGGTGCCCAGGCTGCCTATCTGACAACTCCTCCTCTGTCACTTAACAGTCGAGAAATATGAATCATAGCGACAACTGGTTGAGAGCTTACTATGTACTAGGCACCCTATCGAAGCCCTTACAAATGTCTCATTGGATTCTCAAAGCAAACCACAAACCCCGCGGGGCGCAGTGGCTCACACCTGTTATCCTATCACTCTGGGAGGCCGAGGCAGGAGGATCGCTCAAGGTCAGGAGTTCGAAACCAGCCTGAGCAAGAGTGAGACCCCCCCCATCTCTACTAAAAATAGAAAGAAATTAATTGGCTAACTAAAAATATATATAGGAAAAAATGAGCCGGGCATAGTGGCGCATGCCTGTAGTCCCAGCAACCCAGGAGACTGAGGCAGGAGGATCGCTTGAGCCCAGGTGTTTGAGGTTGCTGTGAACTAGGCTGATGCCATGGCACTCTGGCCAGGGCAACAGAGTGAGACTCTGTCTCAAAAAAAAAAGAAAAAAAACAAACCACAAACCCAAGGAGTGGGTACCATATTATCCCCATTTTACAGATGAAGAAACTGAGTCAGGGAAGCCAGCTCGCTTCCTCAAGTGGCAGAACTAGGACTCGAACCCAAGCGTGACTTCGGAGCCCTGCTGCAAGCCCTTCACTGTTCTGCAACCTCTGCCGTCTCCTGCCCCAGCTGTGCTTCCTCCCCAGGTGCCACCCTGATGACAAGCCGTGTGGCCTCGGGCAGGCTGCCTCACCTGCTAAGCCCCAGTTTGCTCTTTGAAGAATAGAAACATTGTGTATTAACACCCAGTTGTTGTGAGGATGGGATGTTTGTGAAATGTCACTGTGATCATTATTATATGATTATTATTATTATCACTATTTCTGTTACGGATTGAATTGTGTCCCCCAAAAAGATATGTTGAAGTCCTAACCTGGGAACGTGACCTTATTTGCAAATAGGGTCTTTGCAGATGTAATGAAATTGAGATGAGGTCATTAGGGTGGACCCTAAATCCAATCACGGGTGCCCTTATAAAATCAGAAACAGAGACAAAGACACACACACACACACACACCACTGGGAGAGTGCCACGTGGTGCACGTGGGGACGGAGGCAGAGACTGTAGTGACTCAGCTACCAGCCAAGGGACGCCAGTGACTGCTGGCATCCCCCAGAAGCCAGGAGAAGCACAGAACAGCCTGTCCCTCGGAACCTCCAGAAGGAAGCAACCTTTGCATACCTCAGCTGCAGACTTCGAGCCTCCTGAGCCGTGACAGAGCACCTGTCTCCGCGACAGAGCACCTGTCTGTGGTCTCAAGCCGCCGGTCTGCAGCACTCCATTTTGACAGCCCTCGCAGACGAATGCAGTCCCCTCCCACAACCCAAGTCCCCACGGATGCAAGGGCCTCGCCCAACACAGGCCTGCTGCAAATCCTCTTTCCTCAAATCCATCTCAAAACACCGATTTCTGACTCCCAGGCCAGAAACCTGCAATGACACCTGAGCACTTACGTACGTCAGCATTTCCCAAACTTACTTGAAGGTGAGAGTCGCCAGGATGACGTTAAAATTACAGGTTCCCTGGGCCCTGCTCCAGCCCCCCAGACATGAGATCACAGGGGGGCGCTTGGAATCGGCATTTTTAATAAGCACTTATGATGATTCTTTTCCTTGGGCACCTTGGGGCACTCGGCCTACAAGATAGAATCTGGATGAGACCAAAGACCTTGCCTCAGTGATCTCTGTAGAACGGCACCCACCTGGGCTCGACATCATCTCCCACGGTTTCCTGATGTCTTCTCCTTCACCCCTGGGACCCCCCTGCCTCCTTCCTCACCTCGATCATCCTCTACCAAGCCTTGCTTCCGGCCCTTCTCCTGCCCAGATCACCTCTTGGTTTCCTCCCATATTCTAGATCTGATTCAGACGCCACAGACCTTGAACTTAGTTCTAATTATTCCTTGACAGCTTCTCAACGGCCTCTGCATAAAATCCAAACCCCTCGCCACAGCCTGCAAGGGCTACATCGTCCGGCCACGCTCAGCCTCCCTGCGAGCCACTCTTCTCCCTCGCTGGGAGCTCCGGGCCTGGGCTCCGTTGAATTCCTCACGCACACCGGGGTTTTCCCTGCCTGGGTCCTTGGCACTTGCTCTGCTCTCTGCCTAGAACGAACCCCACCCCCCCAACACCTTCCAGCACTCAAACATCACCGTCTCCTTTTCCCACACCCATCGCGCTCGCTCACGCCACTCACGTCGGCCACTGCACCCTGTCTGATCAGTTGCCAACATTTGAAAATCAGGAAGTTTCACGTAAAAGCGTCCAGCCTGTCTCAAGGAATCACAAGGCCTTCCCACTGCCTAGTCCTCCTTCCCACACTGCCCCACGCCCCACGGACTGACGGTGGAGTGGGGCGCTGGTGGCACTCTCCTCCCACCCCACGCCCAGCGATGCTCATCGTCTGTCTCCCCTGTGCAAAGAGGCAATTGTATTCACCAGTGCGGCCCGGCATCCAGCCTGTGCCTGGCTGGAGGCAGGGCCTCGATAAATATGTGCTGAATGAACGAATAAATAAATGAATGGATGCCCTCCCCCTCCCTGCCTCCCACAGGCCACACCGCTCATTTGCCATTTAATCATACCCTTGCTTGCAAGGCTCATTAATTTGCTGCCCCGGTGCCTCCCTCCCCAGCAGATCTTATTAAAACACAAATCTGATCCTTTCGTTCCCCAGTTTCAAACGTTTGCGGAGAGTCTCCCAGCATAAACCCCAGCTTCCCACCTACTCTTCCAGCCCATCTCCAGAGAGGGCCCCCGCCCGGCGGCACCCACGCCCTGCTCGCTCGGGCAGGCTGCGGACACACCGCGTTCTTTCCTGCCCGCCCCCCACCGCGCTGTGCAGCTCCCTCTCCTGGAATGCCTCCTCCCGCCCTGCCGCCAGCAAACTCCTACTCATTCCTCAGCCCCGGCTCCAGCCTAAGTCACTTCACTGTGAAACACTCCAGAGCCCCCTGGGGCTGCCTTAGTCATTCTCTCTCCTCTCCCACTCCTCGCCTTTCATCCCTGGCCCCAGCACTGAGTAAGCTTGAAACAGCAGCTGGTGCCTTCCAAGGAGCCTGCTGGGTGCCAGGCACCAGGGAGCTTTATCTCCCTTAATCCTCACACCCCGCCTGCCCCCAAACCCAAGCAAGGAGCAACCCAAGGCGCATTTTCTCACCTCCAGCTGCCCAGAGGAGCCATCCCTGCCTCCCTATCCCACCTCCTCTTTCTCCCTCCACCCCTCTCCCCACCCCGGGCCTTCCCACCCCACTTCTTGGCTTCTCCATGGCTCCAATCACTCAGACCCCATCCATATAGTTTAACTCATTTATTTGTGTTTGTCTCTGCCCCCGGGAACGTCAGCTCCAGGATGGTAGGATTTTGTCTTTTTTTTTTGTTCTTTCTATAGTTTCATTAACGTCTAGAATAGTGCTTGACATATAGCAGGTTCTCAATTGCTATTTATGAAATCAAAGAAGGTAGATATTAATTATCTCCATCTTCATGTCATCCCTAAGGAAAAGGGGATTGAGACATGTGTCCAGAGTTCCACAGCTGGATGGTCAAGTCTAGCGTCCCCTCCCTTAACTACTGTGCCCACCACCTCCCGGGGACAGTTGGCGGTATCTCTCCATGGGTCTGACTTCTCAGCTACACAGTGGGTTCCTTGGGGGCAAGAACTCTGTCGTATACATATTTCTATTTCCTTGTCTGATTCTTGCTAGGTGCTCAAGGAACATTTGCTGAACTGGTCTGCATGCACACGGTGCGGTGCTCACTCAATGGCAGGAGTTGCAGCATCATTATTTTGTTGGTGGTGCTATCCTTTGTCTCCATGCCAAGCACCATGCTATAAACACAGTCGGGGCTTAATAAATATTTGATACATTAGCAAATTCCATCATGGCAGTAGGCAATAAAAATAATTGGACAGTAATGATGTTAATCAATAGGTAACATTTTTGGAGTCGTTGCCCAGTGCTGGGCCCTATCCTAAGTGCTTTGTACATGAATTAAGACAATTAATTATCTTATTATCCTCATTTTACGGATGAGGAAACAGAGGCTCAGAGAAGTTAAGAATGTGCCCAAGGTCACACAGCTAGGAAATGCAGGGACAGGACTTGACTATAGGTATCTGGCCTGAGCTATGCTCTTAACAACTACCTTAGGCCACCTCTTAGCCTGTCCAAAAGATATCCACTAAAAGTTTACCCTCTGTGAAAACAAAAAGAGTGGTTTATTTATTACACATTTCCATTTTATTTGAAGGAATTTCCTTCCAAGGCTTTGGTGGGCAATATTATTTGGTAATTACTAACCACTAATATCTGCACCACACACTGATGGTTTGCAGAGCAGCAGCACGTGAAGTTTCTCATCTGAGCCCTGGGACAATCTGATGAGGTAGGAATTGCTGTCTACCTCCTTTTATAGAGGAGCAGAGGAGAAATCCAAGGCTCTGTGTGGTTAAGAGAACTGGGTCAAGGTCACCCAGACAGCAAAGAGCAGAGGAAGGGCTCAAATGAACATCTATCAGTTTATAAAACAAATAAGATCTAAGTGCCTCCAAATATAAAGCTCTTTCATGCAACTTAAAATTAAACAAGCTAATCCACGGAAAAGCAGTTAGCACAGTCCCTGGCACCTAGTACACCTCTTACAAATGTTAACTATCATCAACTTCATCATCTTCATCAACACCTCCTGGGAACTGGAACATTCTGGCTGATGCCTGCAGCCTGTCTGTTGACCCTGATGGGAAGATTACTCTTTTCATTCCAGTTCATCCCTGGTAATGTTGAAATAATGATCAATCTCCACTATCCCTGGGGTACCATAGAATGTTAAGAGCTGGAAGGGGTTGTGGAGATGATCTCATATGGTGACTGCATTTACAGATGGAGAAATTGAGTCCCAGAGAGGGGTCAGAAAGCAAACCTGTGGCAGGGCCAACCCAAGGGCAAGGCTGAGGCTCCGTGCCTGGCACATACTGCCTCCTGCAAAGATAGGTTTTTACCTAGAAGGGCATCGAACTTCTTAAAGGCCACAGAAAATAATGCATTTGTTTCCCTAGCTGTGAGCACCACAAAGTATTATAAACTATTAACCAGAGAACAGATCATGTGACTTAATTCCACCTCTGCTAAAGGGCTTAAAATGCTTCGGTGAGTAGTCTGAGATTCATAAATATACACTTTAACTCTTTCTCAAAGAATTATTAACCAGCTCCATCCAACCTGGAACTTGAGCAATCAAGGAGAAAAAGAGCTGGCAAGAGAAATTTTTTGAAAAAAATGTTGCCAGCATTATAGATGATTTCTTGCTACCTCTTTTTTATTTCTTCTAATACTTGGAGAAAGAAAGAAAAAAGAAAAGAAAAGAAAAGGAAAGAAGGAAAGAAGAAAGAAGAAAGAAAGAAAGAAAGAAAGAAAGAAAGAAAGAAAGAAGAAAGAAAGAAAGAAAGAGGAAAGAGAAGGGAGGGGAGGAGGGAGGGAAGGAAGAAAGGAAAGAAGAAGGAAGGAAGGAAGGAAGAAGGAAAAAGGAAGAAGGAAGGAAGGAGGAAGGAAGAGAAAAGAAAGAAAGAAAGAAAGAAAGAAAGAAAGAAAGAATCGTTATGCAAGATACGAACTAAAAAAACTAATTGTGGAAAATTACAAACTCCACCTCACAAGGTAGATTTCAAATGAACACAACAGGGTGTTTGTAGAATTTAAAGACAGAAAGTATTGAAAAGCAGCATAAAGCCTAAGTGTAACCCTCACTAACTTCTTTCAGAGGGTGGAGATGGGTCGGAGAGGCCCGACAGTGTGTGGGTGGGACAATCTCTGGGAGCCCATTCCCAACTAATGATTTTGTGAACCTATAATTTACCGAGTCCCTAATGTAATAGGTTCGCCTTACTTATCTCCTAACTCACTGAGCATTAATTCTCCCAGGCATGGGACTAGCTTTTCATGTCACATGTAGGTCTTGATCAGCTTTAGCTTGAGGATTTGGGGGTGGGGGTGGGGGATGATGGTAAGTCTTCAAATCCAAGAAACAGGAACATAAATCCTTCTCTGTGCTGTTTCTCTGGGCTTCCTGCTTCTGAAGAGAGGCTGAAATTCAGGCTCTGTGAACAAACTTACCGCCCTGACAGCTCTTGGAATGAAAGGGTTCTCCTCCTCCACAATACTTTTATCAAACCCAAGCCATTTTCCACATTCCTTCCTTACACAACCCAGGCGCACCAGTGACGCAGGACTCAGAGCAAATTCTGCTTAGGAGATCCAGGAAGCTCTGGCCTGGCCCTCCCTTCTAGAAAGGAAAGTCCAAGTAAAGAGGGATGCCACACCCGGGGGAGGGGAGAGAGGATGTGACGGCACCTCCAGGAATGCAGGGCCCACGCAGGTGCGCTGGCACCCATGAACTTCCTTCTCAAAAGGGCCCGATAAATCAGTATCGATCACAGGAACAAACCTCAACACCCCAACAATCACTCACACAGCCGGGCCCTTGTTCCCGGGCCGCAGCCCTGCCAACTGGGGAGAGGGAGGTGAAAGCTGAGAATAAAGACGCCTAAAGGTTGTGACGTCTTCTGGTCCAGCGATGATCAGAGTGTGGTCCAGGGACCTGCGGGAGTCCTGAGACCTTTTTAGGGGACTAGCAAGGCCAAAACTCTTTTCACAGTACTAAGATGTCATTCGTTCTTCTCATCCTCTTTGTCTCACAAGTCCACAATGGAGTTTTCCAGGAAGGACAAGATGTACGATGACATCATTGCTCTGATGACTACTGGCATGTGTGTCTGTGTATTCTTGTGTTCTAAACTTGTCTCAGCTTTAATTCTAATATGATAAATACAGAAAGATACAACACACATAAACAAAATACTTTGGGGTCCTCCATAATTTTTTGAGACCAAAAAAGTTGAGACCTGCTATACCAGTACCAACAGTTAAGGGAGTTACAGGCCCTGCAGCTGCTCCATCAGGCATCACACTTTATTTCCAGCTGAGTTTGAGTCACATCATAGGTGCTCTTGAACAGGGGGCGGAGAAGGCTGCTTTATTACTTATTACTCAGCGTGGGATGGTATCCATTCCATCAGTACTTCCACCCCAATTGACCATAAAAACCTTAAATCCTCCCAACAAATCATTGATGAACTGAATTCTCTAGGGGGAAAAGATGGGCTGCTCACCTTTGAACCCAGGTGGGGCAAAGCTAGCCTATAAAAAGCACACTCTCCGCGGCAGCACTCAGCAAAGACTTAATGTGAGGAGCTGCCAGGAGTCAGGCTCTGTGCTACTCAATGCAAGCAAAGCAAAAGCGGTTGCTGCCTTCCGGAGCTCTGATTCTAGGGTAGAGACAGATTACTCACAAAGCTCACGTGCACAAAATACCGGGAAACCTAGAGCACGCCAGAAGGGCTGGGAAAAAACCGCACAAGCATTAGGAGGGATGTGAGGTAGGCAGGGAGATGAAGGGAAGAAGGTTCCCTAACCAAGTCTTCTTGCCGGTCTCAGGTTGGAGCCCCCAGTCCCTGGTCCCTTCCTGGCTCGCAGGCGGTTTCCACAGCTCTTTGATGAGCAGGAGCCCTTCTGCGGGTGGGGGTCCTGCGAGTCTTCTCCTCCCCTCCCCTGGCCAATGCCACCCAGCTCTGGTGCGTTTAGAGGTGAGGACTAGGTGTTTTGTTACTCCGGGACACGGCTAGGTCACCAGGGGAAACAAACACAACCCAAAGGCTGTCGTTTGTAGAAACAGCAAACGGCCGAGAAATGGCTGGAGGAGAGAAGAGCAAGACTTAAGAGGCTTACATTTAAAAAAACAACAGCAACAACAAAAAAACAAGTCCTGAAAGGTCAGACCACAAGTCTCAGGGAGGCTGGGCCTGCGAGCCCTTCCCAGCCTCAGCCCACTCTCCTTCCCTCACGGCGCCCCCAACCCCTCGGGGCCTGGCGGATTTAGGGGGCTGTAGAGTCCCTTGAACAAAAGTAAGCCAAGATTTAGGGGGCTGTAGAGTCCCTTTGAACAAAAGTAAGCCAAAAGAGCCCTACGGTTCTTCCCCAGAAACTGCTGCAGAGGCGGGAAAACTTGAATAGGCAACCAAGAGTTGCAGCCGGCCGCCTAAACGACGCAGAAGGGCGCTGGAGGGGCGTCGCGCGAGGCTGCAGCATCTCTCAGTGGAAGCGGGCGGGGCCCGAAGGAACCGAGCGGCCCCTGGGCGCCTGGGAAACCGAGCCGCCGCGCGTCCCAGCCCCCGGCCTGCGGTGTGACTGGCGCGCGCCGAGCGGCGCGTGCTCCCGGCGGGGCCGGGCACCCAGGAGCGCGCCCGCGCATGCGCAAGAGGTCTACCCTGCTGAGCCCTTCTCCAGGTGCGCTCGCGCTTCCGGCCGGCCTCCCGCACTGCCTTCCCAGGGCGGAAACCGCTGCGCCCGCGCATGCGCCTTCTAGCTCTCTTGCTGGGTCGGGAGAGGAGGACCAGGGCTTCAGGTGATCCCGCCCCTCCCTCGCAGCGCGGGACCAATCGCGCGGCGGTGGGCGGGATTCTCGGGATGGCGGCCCGCCCATTCGCCGCGCGAGGCGCGTAACGATTGGCTGGCGCCGCGGGCGCAGGTGCGCGCTTCCTATTGGGTGTGGGCGGAGCGCGAGCGGCTGCGGCTGCTTCGGAGGCTGCAGGTGAGCGCGCGCACGCGCCGCGGCTCCGGCCCGCCTCGGGGGCGCGCGCGCGGGCGCGCGGGGGAGGCGGCCGAGAGCGAGGCTGCGGCGCCTGTGGCCTCCGCTCCGCCCCCTCCTCCTCCTTCCCCGCTGTCGCCGCCGCCGCCGAGGCCCGGAGGGAGGGAGCCGCGTCTCCGCCGCCGCGCCGCCAGTCCGACCCTCGGCCCCGCCGCGCGAGCAGCCAGCCGGGGGAGCTCCGCGCAGCCGCCCGAGCCGCGGCCGGCCCTGTGCAGGTGCCCGCGAGGAGGCGCCGGGCCGCAGCCGCGCACTCGCTGCCCGCGCTCCTGAGGGACTGCCGGCCCGAGGAGGCCGCCGCGGGGCCCGGGGCTCAGCATGAACCGCAGCCACCGGCACGGGGCGGGCAGCGGCTGCCTGGGCACCATGGAGGTGAAGAGCAAGGTGCGCGGGCCGGCGGGCGGAGCGGGAGGCGGGGGACCGGCCTGGGAGAGGCCGGGCCGGGCAGGACGGCCGGGGAGGCGGCGGGCTGGGCTGCCGGGTCTGGGACCGAGGCGCGGGGGTGCGGTTGGGAGGCCGGAGGTGTGGACAATACACTCGCCGAGAAGGGGGCGGCGGGGTGATGCGCTTGTGTCTGCTCCTGGCCCAGGTAAGAAGAGCTAGTGGAGCGCTTAAACTCGTTCCTCAGAGCCCATTCCTGCCTTCGAGGGTGGGAGTAAGGGCCAGGGCACACTCAGGCGTGGAAGCATTGCATGCAAGGGGGTGCAGAGGGAACCCTAACTGCTGGGCTGTCGGTAAAAGGCCTTTGGAACACCCGGCGCTCCCCCTTTCTGTGGTTCTGGGGTGCATCGAGCGGCGAAGGAGACAGCCCGGGGAACTAAACGGCCCTTTTAAAGTTAGCTTTGCTTCCTGCTAGGGCTTCTTCTAGCACTAACTTTGGTATGCATTTAATCTGTAAAAGTAGCGCTATCGCCTTACGCTGGAGTAGCACTTTACAGTTTGAGTTTGGATGATCTTTTCATTCCATCGTGCTACCTATTCACATCAAGTGCTTGCACCCTTGGCCAGCGGTATGCCAATCTGCTGATAATTACTTCGGTATTCGCCGAATTCCTAAATCGCAAGGCTCGGTGAGCAGAGTAGTCTGTAGGGATTAGTTAGGGAATGCTTCCCAAAGGGGGTTTTGAGCTGGAATTTGAAGGTGATCGGCGGCCATGGGAACATTTTCATCAAGCGTTTCATAAATTGAAGAGCCGAAAGGAGCTTAGATAATCTAGTTCAATTCTCTGAGAAGTCTGAGAGGAGAAGACTGAGGCTCAGAAAGGTTATGACTTCTCCAAGGTCTGCTTTTACGACAAAGCCTTTTTAAAGAGTAACTTTTAGGCACTGTATACAAAGCAGGACACTGGCTGGGCCCTGAGAACACATAAAAATAGAATTGAAAAGGCCAAAACACAGAAAAGGAGAAAAGCAAAAGTATATCAGCTTCAAAAATAATGAGGCATCATTGATTGTAAGGCTACTAAGGAGAGTGCTAAATCGGGGAGGGATTTGAGTGAAGTAAGGTAGAGTAAGGGAAGCTTCCTGAAGCCGGTGGATAGAATGGCTTTATTGTCTAGGGTTGATAAGCAAAGTGCTGTAAGTTTCTGTAACTGAGAATTACATCAAGAAAATCTACATTATAAAATATATTTTTAATATTTTAAAGTGTTATTTGACACTTAAGAACTGTTACAAGAATGGGCACTAGTTTTAGAAACAATTATATAATAAGAATAGAAAGGTAATTGCCACAATTTAAGGAATATGTGCTTCCCTATGTGCTCTGCGGGACACAACATAGCAAATTTAAGTGACTTGCTTGAACTAAAGGGTTAAGATGACTCAAAATACATAGAGCTTTTCGTCTAGCAGTATAGTGGTGGTAGTGGTTCCTTGCCCAGTGGTTGAACCTTCTCATGGCATTTCTGTTATAAATCCAGTTTGGGTTTGTGGGTGTTGAGGTTAAGGAGAGAAAAACACTTGTGATATTGCGTAATCTTAAAATTCAGTGTATAGTCCTGATCTTTGTAGCAAGTCTTTAATTTTTTTTTCATAGGAAAAAATGAATAGGGATTGTAGGTGCACTGATAAAGACAATTAAATAGTCATTTATCTCTAGTACTGGGAAACCTTGAGTACTTGGGGACTGGAATTCCAGGCTTTTGCCTTTCTCTTTTGTTAACTGATTTGTGAATCTTTTGCATACTTATGTCTAAACTCCATGTTATATATTTGACCTGTCATACTGCACTTTTAGTGAACCATGTCTCTTAAATAGAATCAAGGAATTCTGAGAGCATGCACTGAATGCAGTCAGTTCCACTAGTCCGGCTGTTGATGGACAAAGTGTAGGAACTGTTTCCAGTGTGTCTGTGACACATTATGTTTTAAATATTTATTGTTGGCATATTTGCTTTTAATGGATTGAATAAAACATTTGTCGTCATAACCATTTAAAAAATATTGGGACAGATTTTTGAAACAGTATTTCCTTTCACACTTGCTCTAGTGATATCACAGCTTTTTAGAAAGTTGGTAACTAAAAGGTTGTAACCAAAACTTGGTAGTGTGCACCTACTTTTAGTATCTCTTTCTTCTGCATAGGAAAGAGTAGTGTCAACTTTATTACCTTTGCTCATGAAAGGGAAAAATGCTACCGATAATAAAATAATGGATAGTGTAAATACAACCACAGTTAAATTTGTGATACCAGCTACCATGTGACTTTTCTTTGGTAAGTGATTTATCTCCCTGATTGTTTCTCTAGAGTTGGGAAAGTTCTTAATCAATAATCATAGTGATGTCCTTTAATAACCTTGGAGCAGTTTTTGAGCCATAAAACTTCCTAATTATTATTCAAAGGCAAATAGAATATTAAAATTAAGTTTGCATTTCGAGAATGTACCAATAGATGCTGGGGGAAGGAAGTCCATACACCCTCCACCTCTTACCTCTTGAATGGCTAGGGCAAACTAGACCAGGCCAAAAAAAAGTTGTAAATGGTTCATAGTGAATAATTGTTGATTGGGTCTTAATTTTATCTCCATCTTAGTATTTTTCTGTATATAGTAAAAAGTTCTCTTAATCCTATTGTTTTGTTGCAAGTAGCATAATAATTTCACTTTGTTGTCTTTTTTTTTTCCTCTGCCAGCATTGGCAAAAGGGCACATCTACTGTGAAGCCATAAAATTTTTTATTGTTTTTATCATAATAGTTAAGCAAGAGAAAAAAATGTTAAGCAAAGAATTTTCATTCAAAAGCTTTAGCAAGAGCGTTGAAGCCCTAAAATGTTAAATTATTAGATGTTATTCCCATTCGTCTATCAGGGGAAGTAATAAACCCTGTGGATGAATCAGAAAGGACTGGCAACTTTGTTGCCATCCCAGAGTAAATCAAATGGAGGAGAAACTGCGACTTTTGATAACATCATAAGACTAACTCTGATATGCAGGGTGTTCCCTGAGTCTTTATTTACTTTGAAACATGAAGGTGTGACTAAACTTTTTGAGAGCTTTAGGTATGAGTCACCTTATTTTTTTGGCAAATGTTAGTGTTTATATTTCAGGAATGTGTTTTGGAAACTATTTTAATTATTTGTTAGAGGTAACAGGTGGTTTTAGTGAGGTTTTTATTTTAATTTAATTTAAAACCAGCGAGGAGTATGGGTATAAGCAAGGCAGATGATCTTCATAGATAGAGCAAACACAGTGGATCCAGATGACCTGTAGGGCCTTTGGGAAAATGAATTGACATGTTTATAAACTCAAATTATTTTGATAGGAGCTTTTATGGGTGGTGCTTAAGCCTGTACCAGCAGTATGTTAGTATTTCTTTTATTTTTCTTTTTCTCTTTAGATCATACTCTTTTTTTTACATTAGTATTTCTTGCTAATAATATTTAGAGAAAATACGAGTTCAGTGGTTAAACACATTTGGCAAACATTTGTTTAAACACTAAAAATCAACTGTAAGACTTAATTGAGCCTTTAATATGCTGGTGTCCACAGGGATTCCTAAGAGGGTGATTTCTCAAACTTATGTGACTGGGGCACTTTTTGAAAAAGGCTGATTAACCTTTCTTAGGTTTCCACATTTGAGGAAATGCCATGCTCATCCCATAGTAAGTTATAAATCCTGTTTATTATGGACTAGATGAAGCCAGTCCTTAGTGTTGAATATGAGCCACTTTAATGATTTGACATGGGAAGAACAGAACTATAGGGAAGCTGACTTGAGGATCAGAAACGTGCAGGTCAGTATTACGTATGATGAGATTGTCTTCCTCCCTATTTGTGTGATCCCTTAATACCTCCCTCAAGTAATTATTCTTTTTACCCGCTAATTGGTGAGCTTCTGGAACAGGCCTGAGACTTTAAATCTCTAGGGCCTACCACTGTGCCAAGCACATAAACACTTCTTATGCTAATTGGATAGTTGTAGGACATATATCTGATGTATTCCTAAAGCTTCTTTTTTCTGCATTACATGGAGAAGATGCTTGTTATCTCCAGACCAGTTCCTTATGTGATAACTTCCATTTGTGTAATACTTAATGCCAAGAAGCTCAGCGTTCTTTCTGTATATTTTGCTATTGATTCTTGCCGCCTCTTTTGAAATCCTACTTTCTTTTACGGGGGAGGATACTTAGATGCTTTTTGCTGGTGGTCAGAATAAAGACTTGGACACATCTTAGGTACCCTGTGACTTGAGTGAGAAGAGTGTTGTTCTCAAAGTTTGAGCTGAGTCACCGTGCAGAACAGTCCCCAGTAAAGCCTGGTTACTCCATGAGTACCCTTCAGAGACACAGCAGTGAGGAGGCAAATTCTTGTGCCTTTCTTTTGCTTTTTTATCTCTTTATAATGAGGTTTCTGATAATGGACTATCTTCTTTATTAAGAGAAATATTTAACTATGCTTGTTAATTTTTCTATAGCATGCATTTTCAAATTGGGCCCTTCTGTTACTTTTGTTTTTTAAAAGAACTTAATTTAATATATATTGTTATATTTATAGTTTGGAGCTGAATTTCGTCGATTTTCACTGGAGAGATCAAAACCTGGAAAATTTGAGGAGTTTTATGGATTACTGCAGCACGTTCACAAGATACCCAATGTTGACGTTTTAGTGGGCTATGCAGACATCCACGGAGACTTGCTACCCATAAATAACGACGATAATTACCACAAAGCTGTGTCAACGGCCAATCCGCTGCTTAGGATTTTTATACAAAAGAAGGGTAAGTACCACTGTTCGGAACAATTGTTTTAAGAATAGAAATAGTGTGTTTTCCCCATCTATAGGATGTCCGGACTTTGCCACAGACTTAGTGAATACACATTCTATGTGAATCTTCTTGCTGTGTTAACTAGCAAGTAGGTTAAAACATTTGTGATATTGTTCGTTTAATTTATATCTTTATACTTCACTAAGTGTGCTTTAGAGAATTTGTCATTTTAATTACTTAATTTTTAACCTCTTAGGGTTTTTTAGAAATAGAAATTAGGAATTTATTGAATCTTCACTTGAATGGATTATTGTCCATTCAGAAAGATGTGAAAAGAGTATGAATTTAGATTCAGAAAGATTCCCATTTTTTTCATGGCAACCAATTTTCAAGTGCTATATTTACCAATTAATAGATACTAGAAGCAAAGTCACTTAATCTTCCTGAGTCTCAATGTCTTTTCCTATAGAATGGATAAATGTCAGGATTCAATGAGCTAAATGCAGTGCCCTGGCTTGTATGAGCCTTTAGAGAATTTTTTACTGATATAGTATAAAATTAGTTAATTATCTAGAAAATGAGGTAGCAAGTTTTTGTTGTGGAGAGATGTAAACATTGATACTAGTCTTATAAAAAATGATTTGAAATGACTACTCTATTTGGAAAGCATTTTCAAATATATTTTCAGTCTTAAAACTTTTTAAAAAAAACATTGTAGCCTCCTCAGTGTGCTTATTGTGTGTGCGTGTGTGTGTGTGTGTGTGTGTGTGTCTGTCTGTCTGTCTGCCTGCCTGCCTGCCTGCCTGCCTGCCTGCCTGCCGGTGAGCAAGGTAGGCATCATTGTGGTATGTGCCCTTTATTCCTTTCTCTTTGGTAAATGAAGAGGTTTGGTAAGCCAGTATGAGAGCATTGAACCTGGTATTGGGATAATTAAAGCCTTTCAATGTTTGTAAACTAACCCAGAAAGTAGTTTGAGAGAATGGGTAGGGATTACCCTTGAAGGCGAAACTTTTATTTCCAGTCAGTTGATAAGCCTCGGACCACTCCCAGGGCTTTGAAATTCCACCAATTATGTATCTTTGCTTTTGTGGGTTTGAAAAAACTCAAGTCCACCAACAAAATAAACCTCCAAGGATAACTTCTGTCTGTGTCATCTGACTGTTTACAAAATACTTTCACACCCACATATTAATTTCTCCAAAGACCCCTGAGGTGGATGTTGATTTTTAACAGGGGTGTGGTATAATTAGAGTGTGACTTTGGGGAGATTGAGTCGCTGCTGTTCTGGATGATTTGCAGTGAGCAGCAGTCTTACAGTGGAGAGCCAGGAGCAGGCAGTGGAGAAGTAGGGGGACTGGCCTGGCAGCTGCTCCTCAGTAGAGGGGACAGGGAGGAAGGCACAGAGCGCAGTGGGGGCGGGGTGGGAATTGAGAGTGCATGCACAGCGGCTGGTCCACAGTGAAGGAGGGTCCAGCAAAGCATAGCTTTATGGTAATACGTCTGATGGTGGCTGGGACAGTGTCATAAACAAGCAGAGTCTGAAAGAGAGATTGATCTGGAGAAGAAGATTATGGGTTATGTTTCAGAATAAATAATCTTATCAGTCTGGCGAGTTGAACTTATCATACAAGAGATTGGAAATGGTAGACTGGAGATCAGGATGGAAATCTAGACACTAGTTAGACTTCAAAGTCTTCAGAAAGTGATAGTTAAAATTTGGGAGTTGACATAGGGCCAACTGAGATGAAGACCAGGGATAGAACCTTGGAAGGCTATGTATAGAATGTTAGAGAGGAAAGAATTTAAATAATTGTAGTTGATCACAGGCCTTTCTTGTTGGCAATTGTAATTTTCATTAAAAATTTGGTTGCTGTTTGGAATGTGTATTCAAATATAGAATGAGTTTTTAAGCTATAGCCATCTGACAAAATTTTGTTGGATTATCCCCTTTGTTAGAAAGATTATAGGAGTTGGGTTATACTACCTTGAGTTTGTTACTGGAATTGTAACACTTAGCATGATCATGGAATTAACCCTAACATCTCTTCAGAGTGATTATCTTCAGCTATTTCAAGTTTTTATTTATTTATCGGCATAATTTTTATTGAGACCTTTGAAGGTTTTTATTTTTGATACAGGAATTACAGCTTAGAAATACGTTTCTGTTTGAAGAAATGTTTTCTGTGTAGTAGAAGTAAAATGTCCTATACAATTAGTAGCCCTTATAATTTGATTTAGGAGTAGTCCATTCAACAAAAAGATTTTAATTTTTAAAAATATAAATTTAATACAAATAGGACTTCAGCAAAAAATGAAAGTAAGTTGATCAATTCATTTCTGTTTAAAACCCTCTAATAGCTTCCCATTGGAACCAGAATAAAATCCTTTCTGATTTGGACTTCCAAGCCTTCTCTCCCCCCATTCTGCCACTCCCTCATCACAGCCAACCACAAGCTTGTTGTTGTCTATGTGCTTTTGCACTTTTTCGTCTCTTAAGAACACTAATCCCCCAGCTCTTTGGGATCTTGCAGTGTTGCCCAAGCTGGTCTCTAAGTCCTGGGCTCAGTGATCCTCCTGGGCCTCCCCAATCTTCAGCCTGCTGGGATTATAGGTGTGAGCTACCGTACCAAGTCCATTTTCTGTTTTCTTGGCTTTTTAACTCCAATTGGGAATCAACAGGGCAGCAATCACACTTGGTATGGTAACAAGTGATTTTTTAAAAACAAATTTCAAAACTATTTTAAATTTTAGAACCACATGAACTTTTAAAATCTGATAGTCTAGTAAATAAAGTTTCTTTGAAGTGAAAGCTCATGATTGAATGTGTAAACTACTTCATAGCCTGAACTTGAAGATAGTGTTGCATATCTTGAAATGTTTTATAACAATTTATTGTTGGAAGAAAAACTCCGTACTCTATTCCTAGGGTTGCTATCATGGAATCAAAAACAAAACAAAAAACTGCTATCTTAAAAGTTACTTTCACCCAGCACTTTGGGAGGCTGATGTGGGAGGATTGCTTGAGCCCAGGAGTTCAAGACCAGCCCAGGCAACATACTGAGACCTCCTCTCTACAAAAAATAAATCAAAATTTTAAAAAATTAACTGGGCATGGTGGCCTGCACCTATAGTCCCAGCTACTTGGGAGCTTGTAGCAGGTGGATCATTTGAGCCCAGGGGTTTGAGGTTGCAGTGAGCCATGATAACGCCATTGCACTCTAGCCTGGGCAACAGTGAGACCCTATCTCAAAAAAAAAAAAAAAAAAAAAAAGGCTGGGCACAGTGGCTCACACCTGTAATCCTAGCACTCTGGGAGGCTGAGGAAGCAGGATCATTTGAGCTAAGGAGTTCAAAACCAGCCTGAGCAAGAGTGAGACCCCATTTCTAATAGAAAAATTATCTGGGCATGGTGGTATGCACCTGTAGTCCAGCTACTTGGGAGGCTGAGGCAGGAGAATCTCTTGAGCCCAGGAGTTTGAGGTTGCTGTGAGCTATGATGATGCCATGGCACTCTAGATGGGGCAACAGAGCTAGACTCTGTCTCAAAACAAAATGAAACAAAAAAATTTACTTTCACAAAGGATTTCCAACTCCCATCTCCTGTTGGAATATTAGCGTTTATCCTAATTTATTTAGGAGAGGGAGAAGAAAAGGTACAGAATAGAGTTTTCCCTTATTACTGTGCACTAAACAATTTTAGAAAATATTTAAAGGTTACATCTTTGTAAAATACCCAGGTCATTTTCCTGTAGGTTTAGAATACAGCCAGGGAAGTGTGTGTGTGGTTTTTTTTGTTGTTTTTGTTTTGTTTTTTTAGTTCAGTAGCTTTAATTTTATCTGCAAAGGGAAATATGCATTTTTTTAAAAGCCTCCCAGCCAAGTCATGATAATAAACCGAGTCTGGAGTCTGTCACTGTGCTATAGCACAGACTCCTCACAGATCGAATCAGATTATCTATACCCAAACTTCTTGCTGTATCAGTGTTTTTGTACGACACCAGACAAACATGTTTACATCTTGAATTTATTGTAGTGTTTGCTAGAAACACTAGAAGGGCCTTGCTTTAAACTTGGTCTCACTTGGAACATACTCTCACACAAACATGGCCTTGTGGCCCAGATACCTGTAACTGGGCAACTAAATTATCTCTTAGATTTTGTGCATTGGATATTATTTTGTAGGTATGTGTCCACGTTACAGTTTAATGAATCAGAGTTTAATTTAAAAATTTCTAAGGGATATACACTTTAGTAATGAGTTCTAGGTTATAGTTTAACAAAAGGTATGGCTACAGAAATTAAGAGGAAATTGTGGAGTGACATCTCAGAATATGATACCAAGTTGCTCATGACAGAAACCTCGGTGTCACCTTTGACACATACCTATTTTTTTAGTCAGTCACCAAGCCTGTTAAAACTGCGCTCTAATTATTTTTCAGGTTTGTTTCCCCATCTCCACTGCCTCTGCTCCAGGCCAGGGACCATCCGAGTCACTGCAGTAGCCTCGGGTCCTCCCCCTGGAGTCCTTCTCCAACTTGTACCCTGAACGAGCTTTGTAGAAACCAGGTGATCTTTGTAGAAACCAGATGAGATCACCCTCACTCTTTTCCTTAAAGTCCTTGGTCTTCTTCCCACTGCCCTTAGGCTAAAGTCCATAAACCTTCACACTGCCCAGGAGGCCCTGTTTGCCTGGTTGGCCTCTGGCTGCCTCCGACTTGGCTCCCGACTCCTCCCTCCTTCTCCCATTGCACCCTCCACCCTGGCTACACTGGACTGAATCTGCCTGCCCTCACTGTTCTCTATGTTGCATCCTGTGCCTGGAACATTCTTCCTCCCGTCCTACCTGATTAGCCGAGGGCTGCTTTTCCAGTCTTGGTAGAAACCGCACTTCCCCAGAGAGGAAAGCTTTTCCTTCCCCGCAAGCCAGGCTTGACGGTGACACGGCCCGGCACAGCGTGCTGCTCACAGTGGCACCTTTGTCGTAGTTGAGTTACAGTAGTTGGAATTATTTGTTAGTTGCCATCTCCTTTTTTAGACTGTAAGCACCGTGAAAGCAGTCATCGTGTGTGTTTTTTCACTGAATCTGCAGCACAGAGCACAACGCCTGGGATATAGGAGGTGTTTATTAAATATTTGGTGATTACTTTTTTTGTATTGGGAAGTGAAGGGGTCTACAAAATTTGAATATCTAATTTGTTTTAACTGATGTTTAATTCTCCAAGAGTTGCCAGATCTATTTCATTTAACCATTTTGGTTTAGACCAAGGGTTGGCGGGCTAAAGCCTGTTGGCTGTTTTTGTAAATAAAGCATTCTTGGAACACATCCATGCCTGTTCTATCTATTGCCTATGGCTGCTTTTGCAACAGAGACTGTATGGCCTGCAGTATCTAAAACATTTGCTAACTCTCAGCAGGAAAAGGTTGTCAACCCTTGGATTAGGACATTTTAAAAAATCATTCTTTCCCATCATTCTTCAAGCTTCAAATGGGGCATAATCTTGAACTCTCTTGATGACTGCACCATGAACTCTTGCTGTTTTGTTACTGTGTAGGGATGCCTATGGAGTTTATGTAGAGCTTTCGTTTGTCAAATTTGCTTTTTACTCACTGTAGGCTTTTATTTCTCGTATTTGTGCCTGCTGCTCACACGGGGCCCTTACCCCTTGCTCTGAATGTGTGACTTATGACCCTCTGTGAGCTGAGGAATGAGATTACTAGGCTTTTCAGAATTAATGTTTAAAGAGTAAGAGGTTCAGAGGGAGTCCCTGCAGGGCTCCTCTGTAAGTAAAGCACAGGAGCTTTTTGTGCGTAGGGAAGTAAGACATCCAGTTTGACTGTTTTCAGAGGCCTTCTAGGTGGATCCGTGTCTGTTCCAGTTAGCCAAGATCGTTGGCTGAACGTCAGGCTTGGGATAAGTGAGGTAGTGCTATACCGGCCCATATCACACACGGTTGTATAAGTCCAGGTTTATACAAGTGGAAGGTTGCTACGAATCAAGTTTCCAAACTTTCCAGCTCATTGTGAGTTTCATGCTCTGATACATACTCAGGTAGAAAGTCAACTCCAACTCCTTATGGACATTCACCTTTACACTTTAAACTAACACCCTGCACCCTGGCTTTCTGCCAGAATATTTTCTTTCCCAGTGGCTGGAAACTGATTAGCTAGATGGGAGAACAAAGGTGCCTTTGTACTGGGGCATATTGCTTTTGAGAATTTAGCAGAGAGCATTCAAATGGAGTCTGGATGTGATGCCAAATTATGCAGATTTGGGGTTTTTTTGGTCAGGTTTCCCATGAGTAGGTATTTAGGCAAACTTGATTTTGTTCTCAGTTTGTATGGTCTGGAATTTCCCATATAAATACTATGTGGGCTTTCATTTTTGATTACTTTGAAATAAAAGCATATGTAATTTTGAGAAAACAGAGCAGTAGAGGACTATTCGTAATAGATTTTTGGCCAAATTTTGCCAAAAATATTCTTGTGCCAATGGATTTATGTCCAGAGCCATATTATAAACTTCTGTCTCTGTAAGAAGACAGTGTAAATACTTTAAAAATGAAGAACGAAAGTGTCCCCAGGGTGAGGGGAGAAATGCCAAAACAATAAGCTACCCCTAATCTTGTTTATTAATCTGAAACTAGGTTTTAAAGAGTGTTGATGAAACATCAGAAAATAATGGTAAAGCTCTCCATACTCTGACACACGATTGTTATTTAGCACTCATTATGTGAACTTGGAAGATACTGGCCTAGTAGAAAACCTAGGTTCCAGTCCTTTCTTAGTAACTCATGTTGTACCCTTAATTTCCCAGCCTATAAAGTGAAGATGGTAAGAGCTCACTGGGGCGGGGTGAGAGAGAATGTAAACTGAAGCCCTGGAGATGGGCATACTAGCGTTGTCTGTAGCAGTAGCTGAGGCTGGGATTTTGAACTGTTTCTTTTGCGGGGCGGGGGAGGGTCCCTTTTCCCTTTTATTCTTATTGAAATATTATTTTTTTATCCTTGGAAATTTGGCTTTTTAGTTTATCCTCATTTCAGTTATTTTTTAAAAGATTTCAACTTTTGTTCTTGTATCGATTTCATTTCTTTTTTTACCTCTCCTTATCTGATGAGATGTTTTGTCTATAGAATATCTTCCTTCAGCCATATAACTTACAATATCTGGTGTTAGGTGTTCTGTTTTGCTTTAGTTTATGTCAGGTTATAAATTGGTGGCTTTAGGAATAAACTCTTCCATCCTCAGATGTATTTGGCCCCAACAGATTTTTGTTGTTGTTGTTGTTTAGTTAGGTGGCAGAAATTAAAAAGGGGAAGATTTTAACTAAAAACAAGGCTTTCTGGCACGAGAACACCTGCCTGGCACAGAGGAGCAGCTAGGTTTTTTAAATGGGGCAGCAGCTCTCCAGTTTGCCAGTCCTCCCCATTCCCTGTACGTCACCACCACCGGAACAAAACGTCCTTGCACTTTTCAGTTTTTTGTGAAGTGACAAGTTAAAAATCTTATGCCTCTGCCTCTTTGAAAATTGAATTGAAAGATCAAGAATTCCCCCCAGGAAACTGAAGGAGAAAGTGTTTATTTGCAGAAGACCAAAATTCCTGTGTGTTCAATGTGTACCAGCTTCACTTAATTACATTCTCTGCCCACCCAGCCGCTAGTGCAGGTGTATGATTTTGCTCCTTTGGTTTACCTCGAGAATCACGTGTCCCATTTTGTATCTCTGAATTTAATGTGATAAACATACAAATTGCAGGTTTTTTTAAACAAATGAAGGAAAAGTATATTTTAAGTAGCTGGCTTAAAATCTTTCAGGATGCCTTTGTAAGATCTATCATAATCTCATTTGCCATGTTTAATGTGGTTTAATAGTCGAGCTTTATCAAATTTTAACTTCAACATTTGGTAATGTGATGTATATTTGAGATGGCCACCTAGTGGTTTTTTCTGGTATGGCAGTTAACTACTGCACTACTTTATGGTTTGATTAGAAGAAGCTAATATTTAGCTAGATTATGTACCAAATGTATTTGTGTTATCTCTTTTGTACATACTCAGCTGTAGGTAAATGGGTATTTTTACAGCATTTCTATAATTCTTTTATTTTATTTTTAAACAGAAGAAGCAGACTATAGTGCCTTTGGTACAGACACGCTAATAAAAAAGAAGAATGTTTTAACCAACGTCTTGCGTCCTGACAACCATAGGAAAAAGCCACATATAGTCATTAGTATGCCCCAAGACTTTAGACCTGTGTCTTCTATCATAGATGTGGACATTCTCCCAGAAACGCATCGTAGGGTTCGTCTTTACAAATATGGCACTGAGAAACCCCTGGGATTCTACATCCGGGATGGCTCCAGTGTCAGGGTGACACCACATGGCTTAGAGAAGGTCCCAGGGATCTTTATATCGAGGCTTGTCCCCGGAGGTCTGGCTCAAAGCACAGGACTACTAGCTGTTAATGATGAAGTTTTAGAAGTTAATGGCATAGAAGTTTCAGGGAAGAGTCTTGATCAAGTAACAGACATGATGATTGCCAACAGCCGCAACCTCATCATAACGGTGAGACCAGCAAACCAGAGGAATAACGTTGTTAGGAACAGTCGGACTTCCGGCAGCTCCGGCCAGTCTACCGATAATAGCCTTCTTGGCTATCCACAGCAGATCGAACCAAGCTTCGAGCCAGAGGATGAAGACAGTGATGAAGATGACATTATCATTGAAGGCAGTGGAGTGCCACAGCAGATCCCAAAAGCTGTTGCTAATACCGAGAGCCTGGAATCCTTAACACAGATAGAACTCAGTTTCGAGTCTGGACAGAATGGTTTTATTCCCTCTAATGAAGTGAGCGTAGCGCCCGTAGCAAGTGGCACAAACACAGAATTTGAAACACATGCTCCAGATCAAAAACTCTTAGAAGAAGATGGAACAATCATAACATTATGAAACCACTGTTTGAATGTTTTCTGAGTCCTCACTCAGATGCCATGGGGACTTGTACATTTGGCTAGTTTAAAGCATATATACCTCTGAACCAATGATGTGGAATGGGCATGAGAAAAATAATATTGCAAGCTTAGAATGTTGTTAAAATAGTAGTTTGATAATTGTTAATATAAACTTTGGCGGATCAGAGGTGAATTTAACTCTAAAAACAAAGGGGCCTTTGCTGATGAAATTATGTGCTTTTGTTATTTTGTCTGTGGAGAACTGGATGTTAAAGCACATTCTCAGAACTATGTGAGAGGACTAGATCATTTCTGCTTGAAGTGGTTGCATATTTAACCTGCTATGCAGAGCCCAGTTAATTTTTCATTTAATATATTTTAAAAATTCTAATGTGAAGAAGTCTGATTCTATATCTTTTGGTACATTGGGGGCCTCAGCTGTTATGTTCCCAGTATTTTATTTTAATTTTTTTAGTGTTCCTCTGTTACTAATTGTAACAAATTATTTTATAAATGTATTTTTTTCTATTTCTAAGGAATCAAACCACTTGGCTGTTTTCAGGAGTTCCTTCCCATGTTATATAAAGTGTTGAAGCTATGTTTCTAAATTTTGAAACTCTGTAACGTTTGTTCAAGTTGGTGTTTGTCCATCCTATGGCTTTCATATTTACAAACTAATCATTCCATATGGGTATAATTTATGTTTTAAAGGCCATTCCAGTGACTCTGGAAATACGGGAGACTCTTTTAACCTATTCCCTGTCCTCATTCCCGATCTCATTGGCAACCATTCCTTTCGTTGTTAATGTGTATGTTTTGTTGGTGTGCTTTTATACTTTTTACGTATTCAAGTATGAATCATTTTGGATTAAAAATGCACCCATATTAAGAGATTTTTACACACAGGACAAACTTGTGCACTTTTTATATTAATACAAAAAAATTGGATTTTCCTTTGATGGGATCTGTAGAAACACTGCCTACACTTTATGAGAAATATGTAGTATTCTCCTATGACAGGTAAATCTTATCACTGTTAATTGTATGAGGCTATTTATTACTTTCCAGTGCATCCACTTAGAACATGTCAAGAGTAAGGCTGCTAACTTTCATTCCTTGCCTGATTTCATTGTACAATGTGCACAAGCACAATGGTATGCTTGTATATAGAAACTAAGAATATTATGAAGTCCATAAGTTCCCTATGGCTTATGAAGAGTTATTTATTAATTTTATGGTAGGACTAGTATGAATACCTTTTTAACAATTGTGTGCTGTTAAAACAATGAAGATTCAAATGACTCCGTTTTGAAGGATGTTTTCTCTATATGGTAAAATATATGAAGAAGTCTTGATTCAATGAAGATCACTTGACTCAGAATACTTAATGTATTCTGCTCACATTACCATTAAGCATATTATCAGTAAACTATTAACTGCACATTATATAATACAATGTTCTTTTTGTTGAATTCACCGTTCTTCCATTTATATACCACTTTTTTTTGTTAATACCATTCCAGCTTTAACATTCTGTGAGTCTTATAAATTTGACTCTTGAATGGCAAAATAATGTTAGTATGTAGAAGGTTAAATTTCATTTATAATATAAGTGGTGCAGGGGTTCAACATTTTAAGTAAAAATATTTTTACACACTACCTCTCTCTCTCTCTCTTTTTTTTTTTTAACAAAGTTTTAACATCAGAACTTTTCTCTTGGGGGAAAAATACTTCAGGGCTTGACTTTTTGTACAAATTTTAACTATAAAATACAGATTTATCTTGTATGCATTCATGAAAACGGAAATCAAAGCTGCTAGTGCTTTTTGTTTTAATTATCCTGTTAAGGGTATATGTCAATGGTGTTTTCAACTAGATCTCTGTCATTTAAATTACTGGTGAAATAATTGATTACTAGACATATTGTAAAACCAATATTGGCTATACAATAACATATCAATTCATTGGTAGTCAGAATCAATTATTTCAAGTGTACCATATTAACAAAAATCAGTGGATCCAGTGTAAAATTTTATAGTACTAAATGTCAAGCCTAACTGTGAATTTTGTTCTGTATCTTAAGTAAATTTATGATAATGTTCTTGAGCTATCAACAAAATATATGTACTTTTGTGAACTATGAATTTTCTAATTAAATTTTACATGCTATAACATGATTTTTACATGAATGATACTTTGTTTAAACTATCAAATGTCAGTATTTTACTACAATTTTATTATAAAATGTACATTATCACTAAATGAACTTTGATTTTAAAAATCAAATTAGCTTTAGTTGTATATTATTTTTTACAAATAAAGATAGACTTGTATTAAGGCTACTTTCTTGTTTGAAATTATATGGAAAGTCACCCACAAATATTTATCAAGCACCCACTGTATAAAAAAGGTAGGGAGAAAACTATTAAGTTATAACATGATCCTTTCTTCCTTTTAATTGTTGAAAGATAAACACCAAATCATACATACATTTACTGCAACTAGGGATGACCATATGACTATGGGCTGGAAGGTAACAGTTAAAATGTAGTTAATTCTGATAGTGTGAAAGATTTTGCATGATATTCACCCAAAGCTATCTTTAACATTGTTAATATTGTTTGAAACAAAAGTAGTTTGTACTGTGACAATTTATCTTCTGAAATTCAGATTCCCTTAGTTATACTTATTATCACCTATTATATCGCCTGTATGGATTGAATTCAATTTATACTGAATTCAAAACTTAAAAGGCCCAAGATAAAACCAACCCCTCCTGAGCCATTTCTAATCCCAAATTAGCCACCCTGTCACTGGCTTACTTCATGTTTGCATTAACTCCTCGCCCAACCAGTTTAGAGGATAATCCTTCCGACTGATTCCTTTCCTCCAATTTAAAAACATTGAAAAATCCCCTGAGTATAAATTGAACACCATGGATTGGGCTGCATTCAGTACTTGATAGCTCGTCCCTGAACGAAAACATCTCTTTCACCCCCAAAATATGACCCCAGTGTAGTTTGCATCTAAAATCCCTGCCTAGTTTCTAGGTCTGGGCAAGAACTTGATAAATTTGATTTTGAGGAAAAAAGTTTACAAAGAGAAGCAAATCCGTGTGTTCTGGTTGTGTGCCTTTGGGTGCTCCAGTGTTCAACAGCGACTGATGAAACCACTGCGGATTGTTTGATTTTCCCTTTCAGTTTGGGGGAAGGTTTAATTTGCATAGTGAAGCTGTAAGAGTGTGTGTCTATCAGTGACTCAGCAGCCGAGCCCTGCACACAAGTTTGAGAGTGCCTTGCTTTGAAGACTTTGAAAGTCTTCCTTGTTACCTTGTGACAGCCTGTCACTTGGTGGCGGTGGCTGTTACCTGCAGGGCAAAGCAAAATCTAGCTGTGCCTCCTCGTTATATCATTTGTATGCTACTTAAGTGCTGTCAGAAGAGACACTTTAGAAACCAAAATTAAGACTTCATTGCCCACAAGAAGTACAATTTGCAGTCTAATGATTGTCATTGGGTTGACATCTGTCTATCAGAAGGTAAATATAAAGGAAATTAATCCAGCAGATTACACAAAAAGTCCTTAGTGTATAGCAGTCTACCAACTTCTTCCCTAATAACAAGTAAGATGTAGATAGATAATATTTTTTTTTTTTTTTTGAGACAGAGTCTCACTTTGTTGCCCAGGCTAGAGTGAGTGCCATGGCGATCAGCCTAGCTCACAGCAACCTCAATCTCCGGGGCTCAAGCGATCCTCCTGCCTCAGCCTCCTGAGTAGCTGGACTACAGGCATGCGCCACCATGCCCGGCTAATTTTTTGTATATATATTTTTAGTTGGTCAATTAATTTATTTCTATTTTTGGTAGAGACGGGGTCTCGCTCAGGCTGGTTTTGAACTCCTGACCTTGAGCAATCCGCCCACCTCGGCCTCCCAGAGTGCTAGGATTACAGGCGTGAGCCACCACGCCCGGCCAGATAGATAATATTTTAAAAGCTAATGTGTTGATCTGGTTGCTTTACAACATTTGATGTGTATTTTATGAATTAATATTAAAATTCAAGGCCTGGTGCTGTGGGTCACACCTGTAATCCTAGCACTCTGGGAGGCCTAGGCGAGCGGATCTTTTTGAGCTCAGGAGTTCGAGACCAGCCTGAGAAAGAGTGAGACCCCCGTCTCTACTAAAAAAATAGAAAAACATTAGCTGGACAACTAAAAGTGTATATATATAAAATTAGCCAGGCATGGTGGCGCATACCTGTAATCCCAGCTTCTCGGAGGGCTGAGGCAGAAGGATTGCTTGAGCCCAGGAGTTGGAGGTTGCTGTGAGCTAGGCTGACGCCACGGCACTCTAGCCCGGGCGACAGAGTGAGACTCTGTCACAGGAAAAAAAAAAAAAAATCAGTGGAGTTTTATTTACAAGCTGCATTTAGGTGTTTTTCCATTTATAAAAGCTGTCTAGGGGATGAAGTTTATTCTAAAGCAGTATTCTCTGTGTAATAGAATATGAGAAAATTGCCCTTAATATATAGTTCATTATAATCCCACTTCTTGAGTGCTCTCTGCTTAACTACCTTTCTGAACCCAGTGGTGATTTTCTCTGGCTTGGACCTGAATAAGAGGAAAACACCCAATGACACCTAAATCTGTGAACGGTGGACCTGGTCAATGGTCATATTTTTCAGAGTGTTAATTGGGATGCTCTTGCCTTGAAATTCTTTGGATAGTGAAAAAACCTAACTTCAATTGACTTGCATCAAAAAGAATGTATTGGCTCATGCAACTGAAAAATCAGGGCTAAGAATTTTGGCACTGATATTGTCTAGGCTTTTGCTGTCTCATGGGACTTTCTGCAATGATGGAAATCTGTGTTTGCTCTGCCCAGAGAGTAGACACCAGCCCACATGTGGCTACTACATATCTGAAGTGTAGCTAGCGCAACTGAGAAACTGAATTTTTAACTTTATGTCAATTTAATTTAAATTTTTTCTCCACAGGCAGGGTCTTGCTCTGTTGCCCAAGCTAGAGTGAAGTGGTGCAATCATAGCTCACTGCATCCTGGAACTCCTGGGCTCAAGTGATCCTCCTGTTTTGGCCTCCCTCATAGCTGTGACTACAGGCACACACCACCATACCTGGCTATTTTATTCTTATTTTTTGCAGAGACAGGGGTCTTGCTATGCTGTCCAGGCTGGTCTCAAACTCCTGGTCTCAAGCAATCTCCCTACCTGGGCCTTCCAAAGTGCTGGGATTACAAGCATGAGCCACCATATCTGGCCTTACTTTAAATTTTAATAGGCATATGTGGCTAGTGGCCACTATATTTTACAGCCAGACTAGAATCCCTCTCCATTCCTTGCTTTTGCTTTCCTCTGTTGGCTTTTTTCCCTCAGGCAAATCCTTGTGGTGGCAAAGACGGCCTCCAGCAACTTCATCCCATTCTGACACATGAACAAGCACCAACAAGGAAGCTGGTCTTCCCCAGAGGCACCTCTCATTGGCCCTGTCTGAGTCATGTGACCATCCCTAACCCAATCCCTGTGCCATGCTTGGGTCATGTGCCCAAGTCTGGACCTATTGCAGGAGGAGCATGGTTTCCAAAGGAAAAATCAGGGAATCAGGCCATTACCACTAGAAAAAGGACTGCAGGGTTTGACACAGTGGGTGTTGCTTGTAGCTTTAAGAAGTATTTGCAGCCAGGCATGGTGGCTCACGCCTGTAATCCTAGCACTTTGGGAGGCTGAGGCTGGAGGATCACTCAAGGTCAGGAGTTCGAAACCAGCCTGAGCCAAGAGTGAGACCCCCGTCTCTATTAAAAATAGAAAGAAACTAATTGGCCAACTAAAGATATATAGAAAAAATTAGCCGGGCATGGCGGCGCATGTCTGTAGTCCCAGCTACTCGGGAGGCTGAGGCAGAAGGATCGCTTGAGCCCAGGAGTTTGAGGTTGCTGTGAGCTAGGCTGACGCCAAGGCACTCTAGCCCGGGCAACAAAGCGAGACTCTGACTCTATAAAAAGAGAAGTATTTAGTATAAATGTTTTATTAAAGAGGGGGTTAAAAGCATAAAGTGCCGTGTAAAAGGTACATGGGGATAGAGAGCAGTCTTCTATCAAAGGAAAATGGTAAAAGTGGAAATGAAATTTGGGCCCAGTGGCAGCGTTCTGTATTGAAAGGGAAAGTTTAAAACTCATGAACATGACTATATTAGGACTTGTGTTTTCAGGTATTATTGCTTATTTTGATTCTATTTAAAATAAAGCTGAAGCTGGGTGCAGTGGCTCATGCCTATAGTCCCACCTACCTGGGAGGCTGGGGTGGGAGGGTCATTTGAGCCCAGGAGTTTGAGGTTGCTGTGAGCTAGGCTGACGCCACGGCACTCACTTTAGCCTGGGCAACAAAGCGAGACTCTGTCTCAAAAAAAAGATACGGAAAAGAGAGAGCCATGGGCTTAGAGAAGGGGTTGCAAATTCACATGCCCAAAGGGCCGGAGTGGGGCAGGTGGGTGGGGCTGGTAAGCTGGAGACACTCCCCCCGGCCCCCACGAGGCAGGGTCTACCACATGCCGTGATTGCTTTTGGGGATGTGTGGGCCTACTGCTGTCAGCTCTTTTAACTTTTCAGAAGACGCCAGAAATCCAGAATTTCATATGAAATGTCTTGAGTTTTGAAACAATGCATAGCGCAGACAGAACAGACCCATCAGTGGGCTGGCCTGCGGGCTGCCTGGGTGCCACCTGGGTCCCAGAACGCTAAGGAACCATGCGCGCCGATGGCTCCATTCCCTGTGCTGTTCGGTGATGGCCTCAGAGTGTTGCAGAGGATCACATGGGCTCACACGTCTGAAGGGCTTAAGACAGTGCCCGAGGCTTAATAAGCACTCGTGAATGCCAGCTGTTCCGTTTGTGTTTCAGGGAGATGACTAGGACCCAAAGGGATTCTGCAATTGGCTCAAGGCGGTGACGCAGAGACGCCTCTTCCAGCTCACTGCAACCCCACAGTGCGGTTCCCGGACTAGCAGCCTTGGCACCGGCTGGCAGTATAGATGCTCAGGTCCCGCCCGTGTCACCGAATCCGAATCTCTGCCGGTGGGGCCCAGCAGAGTGCATTTTAACCACATGGTGTACGAGCACATTACAGTTTGAGAAGTTCTGAAACCCAGCTCTCTTCTGCATCTCTCCTTAGCTCTCAGCGAAATGCTGTCACGAGCATGGCTTATGGACTTCTTCTAAAATTCACAAAGCTGCATGGAGAGCCATCATCTGCTCCTCTTGTGCATGGTGTCCCCTTCAGTCGCCTGGTGAGGGGGAGCCTCAGTCTGCAGCCTTCTGTGCGGAGCGCCCCTCC